AACAGTTCCATAATGTACCACAATACTTCAAACAGTTCCATAATGTACCACAATACTTCAAACAGTTCCATAATGTACTAAAATACTTCAGACGGTTCCATAATGTACTACAATACTTCAGACGGTTCCATAATGTATTCTAATACTTCAAACAGTTCCATAATGTATTCCAATACTTCAAACAGTTCCATAATGTATTAAAATACTTCAACCAGCTCAATAATGTATTCCAGTACTTCAAACAGTTCTATAATTATTTCAGTTCTCTACTAGTGTAGGTCACTAGTATGTTAGTATGTTAGTAGTGTACTTGTAACTAACGTTACGGTATGTTAATATGATCGTGTATTTGTGTGTAGAGACCAATATGTTGTTTTATCAAACACGCTCAATGTGTGTATATTCAAACAGCAGAATATGACAACTGTGGTGATAATTTGTTCACAAAACAACAACACCGAATTAAAACGATGTTTAAGTCTTACCTGCAATTAAGTTCAAGTATTCGTTGATGTATTTTGTTATTTATTTAATGAATAATTGATTTAATTTATCGATTTACATACCTATATATATATGTGTGTGTGTGTCTTTAGAGATGGAGTAGTTTAAAGATCTCGCTTCTAAGAAGGGAATTCGTGTGCAATATATATAAGTTTGTTTTGGAAAGTAAATTTCTGAATTCATCTAAAATACTTTAAAGTATTAGAAATAACTAAGAAATCAGTGATCGAATTACATATAAAATGAAAATATTACGTGTTGATAGTTTACAGTGTGATTAGCTATCATCTAGACAAACATATAATGCATAACGAATATAAAAGTAAAGACTGTCATACTATTCCCAGCAGTAGCATGGTGATTGCACTCGTGGCTTCCAGGACAGATAAGTCACATTGAAAACGTATGCTAGGAACTTTATACGTTATTGAATCTAGTGCTACTGGTAGTAGAAGCGGTCAAGATAGAAGATCCAAACGCTTCAAAAGTTATGCTGAGAATACACCATAATATAGTACTGATGTTGCTCATGATCCAACTGTAGGTACTAGAGTGGGTGTTACTCAGTACGTTCTTAGTGCAAGTTCTTCATCATCCGATGATGGACACTAGAAATATTGTATTTTAATTAAACAATAATCATGCCCGATGATAGACTGGAGAACACTAAGAATATTTTATTTTTAATATAACCAGAGTCGGGTGTGACATATTGGTTAGCATGTCTCGTGTCTCGTTGCTGCAAGTGTGTTATAAGAGTGTGATCAAATCCCACCGTTTCATTAAAGAAGGCTAAGATTATATTATTTTTAATATAACCAGAGTCGAGTGTGACATATTGGTTAGCATGTCGAGGGTCCACAACTCGTGTCTCGTTGCTGCAAGTGTGTTATAAGAGTGTGATCAAATCCCACCATTTCATTAAAGAAGGCTAAGAATCGGTAATGGGTAAGCTAACAAAGAAACGGCTAAACTATACACATATCTGAGATATGAAATTATTTTATGGAAATGGTCATTTTTTTATTAATATTTTCTCTAATACAATTCTGTTATTTCAGTCTTGGTATTGTGCTGCCAGAACCATATGGCCAGTACAGGGTTAACGGGCGTGTTTTGATGAAAGTTGCCAAACCTGAGGAACGTAATTGTAAGTAGAACTTCTGTATTATATCAGAAGTTTAAATATGTTTATTAGTGTTCTGACAGTTTTGTAGAAAATATTATCCAGCCAGCTTTAAGAAAATTATAAATCTATTGAACTGGTCCGTTTGGACATTAACAAAAACGTCACAAGAAATAACAGAGGTGGTTTGTATGACTGAAGTTTTTTACTTATACAAAATAGTTTTAACAATACAAGATTCATGTTATCTGTTTATACAATACAAGATTCATGTTATCTGTTTATACAATACAAGATTCACACTATCTATTCATGTTATCTGTTTATACAATACAAGCTTTACGTTATTTGTTTACATAATACAAGATTCACGTTATCTATTTATACAATACAAGATTCAAGTTATCTATTTATACAATACAAGATTCATGTTATCTGTTTATACAATACAAGATTCATGTTATCTGTTTATACAATACAAGCTTTACGTTATTTGTTTACATAATACAAGATTCATGTTATCTGTTTATATAATACAAGATTCATGTTATCTGTTTATACAATACAAGATTCACGCTATCTGTTTACATAATACAAGCTTTACGCTATCTGTTTATACAATACAAGATTCACGCTATCTATCTATACAATACAAGATTCACGCTATCTGTTTACATAATACAAGCGTCACGCTATCTGTTTATACAATACAAGATTCACGCTATCTGTTTACATAATACAAGCTTCACGCTATCTGTTTATACAATACAAGCTTCATGTTATCTGTTTATACAATACAAGATTCACGCTATCTGTTTACATAATACAAGCTTCACGCTATCTGTTTATACAATACAAGATTCACGCTATCTGTTTACATAATACAAGCTTCACGCTATCTGTTTATACAATACAAGCTTCACGTTATCTGTTTATACAATACAAGATTCATGTTATCTGTTTATATAATACAAGCTTCATGCTATCTATCTATACAATACAAGATTCACGCTATCTGTTTACATAATACAAGCTTCAAGCTATCTGTTTATATAATATAAGCTTCACGTTATCTGTTTATACAATACAAGATTCACGCTATCTGTTTATACAATACAAGATTCACGCTATCTGTTTATACAATACAAGATTCATGTTATCTGTTTATACAATACAAGGTTCATGTTATCTGTTTATACAATACACGCTTCACGCTATCTGTTTATACAATACAAGATTCACGCTTATTGTTTATACAATACAGGATTCACGTTATCTGTTTATACAATACAAGATTCATGTTATCTGTTTATATAATACAAGATTCAGGCTATATATTTATACAATACAAGATTCACGCTATCTGTTTATACAATACACGCTTCACGTTATCTGTTTATATAATACAAGATTCACGCTATCTATTTATACAATGCAAGCTTCACGCTATCTGTTTATGTAATACAAGATTCACTCTGTTTCTTTACATAATACAAAATTCACGCTCTTATATAATACAAGATTCACTCTGTTTCTTTACATAATACAAAATTCACGCTCTTATATAATACAAGATTCACTCTGTTTCTTTACATAATACAAAATTCACGCTCTTATATAATACAAGATTCACGTTATTTGTTTGTATAATACAAGATTCACGTTATTTGTTTGTATAATACAAGTTTCACGTTATTTGTTTGTATAATACAAGATTCACGTTATTTGTTTGTATAATACAAGATTCACGTTATTTGTTTGTATAATACAAGATTCACGTTATTTGTTTGTATAATACAAGATTCACGCTAATGTTTTATATGGTAGAAACCATAGTAACGATTCGTATGGTAGTAGCTACTCAATCACGGTAAAAAGTTAAATGGTAAGTTTCACGTGAAATGATTTACTTGTTCACGTTTTAAAGATACAAAAATACAAGTAAAAAGTAGTGAATACAAATAGGGTTAAGTATCTTCGATAACCTATACTACCACTTGGTAATAAAGCTGTGGATTTAGGAATTAACGAGGCAAGTGCAGTTCTTTTTAATAGTCTTATTAGTTGCACCATAAATACAAAACACGTGAGTGTATTTACACAGTCTCTGTGTGTGTTTTTATCTATCTAATTCTCACTATGAGATTAATTTTAAGTGATGAACGGTAATTTTTTGAAACCCAGTTCTCAGAGTTTCTTATTTGTTCTTTTTTTTTCGTTAGGGGAAAAATATTTCCTCGGGAACAATTGGAGAATACACCCCACGTGGTAAGGGTTCATTTTTGCAGTTTTTAAACTACTGAAATTAAATATTTACTCAGGATGATCAAGATGACCATTTAAATAGGTTATTAGCGCCCTTATAATATGATTCTATTTTCAACATAGACAAATGAAAGTAACCCTACTTATTCCAAATGTTATTGTTTGTATTTTGTCCTGACTTTTTTTCAAGAACTGTTTTAAACAAGATTTCATAGCTTCTCGTTTTAAGTATCCACAAACAAAACTGAACAACAAAATATTTTTTTGCTCTGTCTTTCCATGCAATATTCTGTATACTGTGCCATCTTAGGTTTCTACTGATCAACTAAGTGTTAGTTTAAGAATAATCCATCAGCCACAACCAATCAGGTGTTAGCTGATAAGTAATACACTGGCGAGAACCAATCAGGTGTTAGCTGATAAGTAATACACTGGCCAGAACCAGTCAGGTGTTAGCTGATAAGTAATACACTGGCCAGAACCAATCAGGTGTTAGCTGATA